GATCCACCCTTCCGCGGGCCCCGGGGCTCAGCCTGCGGGTCCCGCCAGCTCGCTGTCCCGCTCGCCGGTGCCCCAGACCCAGCGGCGCTTCTCCCACCTCCCGCCCTGCTGCTGCCCCTCGGGGGCTGCTCTGCCAGCTCCGGCCCCACCCGGGGCTCCCTGGGCCCGGCTGCATGCCCCCGCTGCTGCGGTTGGTCTGTCAGCGCAGACGTTCTGCGGGTCCCTGTGGGGAGGGGAAGCCTGGCTGCAGGGCCTGCATCACATCTGTCAGAGCCCACCCACCAGCCCACGCCGACCCTCACCAAGACAGGGCTCTTACAGTGTGCAAAGGTTTCCTTTATTTCTGCTCAGAACTTGACAAAAGCCACATGGGAAGAGACTGACAGTGTGAAATGCTGGTCACGGAGAGCGTTCAGAACAGGGGTGAGGAGCAGAGAAGAGGTACCTGGCTTTAGAAGTGGGGGCTGCGTTAGAGGAAGGATAGCTGTTGAAATTTGACAGCATTTCTAGAAGCTGTGTTCACTCCTGCAGAGCTGAAGGGAGGAGTTATTGGTGGAAATGCAAACAGGATTATTATTTTTTTTTGTTTGGTGACAGCACTGGAGCTTCCTGATTGATAAACCCTGCCAGTTGTAAACTGCAGCTGCAGTGAACATCCTCAAGGCAGACGTGATGACAAGTCATACCCCATGGGTTAGGGCTACTGATTGATCCAAGTGCTTTTCAGAACTATTAACCATCATTTCACAAGCTCTACTGCTGGAGAATTTAAAATAAACTGTGTCTGACCTTCCTATTCTGGAAGATACTTAAGCCAGAGAAGGGTCTGTCTTCCAAAATTTGCAGCTGCAGAACTCGAATGCTGCTTCTTTGAGCAGCAGATTAAAATTATCACTTAAAGCTGTAAAAGACCAGAATTTCTCTGTATGCTTGTTGCAGTTCTTGCCCCTTTGAGCAGCAGTGTCATCATCCGCAGTACCGATTCCTGGAAACTTCAGTTGTTAAATATAGAGGTTATGAGCTTTGGGCAGGCATGAATAGATCATTGATGGCTCTCACCCTTCTGCATAGCAAGCCTTAAGTGTCTAAAAAGAGAAGAAAATGACTGGTGTACTGTGTGTGCCTAGCGAGGACGTCGCCTTCCCCTCTGCAGTCAGCAGGAGACCATCCTCGTGCTTGTCTAGCAGCTAGGCGAGATCGCTGTTTCAGAATTTTTCCTGTACTACTTGTGACAAGAAGCCATCTTGTTTTCATTAGTGAAAGATGGTAATTTTCCTAAATCCTGATTTTTTTAATTTTTTTTTTTATGTACTGTTTAAGAGATTTTCTTTTTTGGGTTTTCTCAGGGTTTTCTCCATTTTGGGTAATGCTTACTGTGCTTGTGAGTTGGATCTTCCTACTGCCACCGTAAAGTACTGCATGAAAAAGGAAGCACAGCAATGACATAAATAAGAACAGCAGAGAGCTGGTGTGTTCACCCTCCCAGAAGGTAGAACGAGCCACTTGTGGGATAATTGTGCGTTCACAGATTGCACACTGCAGGGTACTGTGCTAGAAGCGCCGCGGTTGTAAAGGAGAAGTAATTGAAAGGCTGGTTGTAGGTGGGTGAAACAGCATGGCAGAAAAGCAAAGTGACTTGTATCAGAATGAGCCTGGCTATGGAAATGCTGTCCCTTTTCTTTCTCTTCCATACAGGTTTAATTCCTTTGCATTCTATGGCTTTGTCTCTGCTGCATTGGATAATAATGACCTTAAAGGACTGTGAAGTGGTAAAGGGAGAAAAAAAAAGTGAAAATCCTTGGTCTTGCATATGTTGAGGTTTCTAGTCTGTGGCCAGCTGCCTTTTCCCAGTCAGGACAAGGTGCTGATGAGACTACAGACCTGTGACAGGAAACCCCACATAAAACAGTAGCATGAATAGCACTGAAAGGATAATGCTGCTGGGGAGGCTGTAATGGATTACACTGGGAAACAGTCCTGAAATCCTGCCCTGCAGTTTTCTTTGAGAAAGAAGTGTTAGCAGGGCTGCTCTGAATGTGGCACAGCGTGTTTAGTGAGTGCTGCAGTGGTGCTGATGTGAAACCCCATGCGCAGCTCAGCATCGCTCAAGTCTTTGGCAAAGCTTTGGATGACTGAAGTGACGAAGGAGCAAAGCCTAAGTGCAAAGCTCTTTTGCCATTAAGTCTTTCTATTTAGTATTTTACTTAACTCATTTTGGAGATGGGCTTGTGAGACTTTTGTTGCTGAAGACAATGCTATGTTACTGTCCAGATTGTCAGAGTAAAATATCCTGTCTTGCTGCTTTTAAAAAGAAAAAAATAGTATGTGAATTTAAATGCTTAGAATGATCATTTTGTGATACCTACTAGTAGTGTGATAGCTGATGCAGGTTGCTGTTTCAAGTTTGATGCAGGCCCTAGCAAATATTACAGGTATTCTAAAGCACGTGAAACGTGTGTATCAGCATTTAAAAATCTTATTTTGCATATCAGTAGTAAAGTTTATGATGTACAAAATACAGTGACTGGACAGACTAAACATTTACAGCAAACACACCAAAGATGTCATTTTTTGTTAGGAGTACAAGAGTATCTTGATAGAATGCAGCCATGCTTGGGGTGTCCTTAATCTCTTGAGAAACGTATAGCTGGAGGGTGAACCTGTCGAGAGGAATGATAGTGACTGCTTGGGAGAAGAATGCAGCGAGAATCAAAAGGCTTGTTGATGTGAGACTGGTGACAGAATTACCATTGTGTTGAAGTTGGTGTAACATTAGTCCCTCAGACTTTGGGGGAGAGGGATAGGAAACTGGCCACCTGGAATCAAGTGTACAAAACACTGTTTGAGCCTTGGGCAAAAACCATCGCAATGAGGAGAGGAGTGTAACTGGGCTACCTCATCTCTAGCACAGAGAACTGAAAAGCCGTGATTTTTCACATACCTTGTATCCTTCCCTTTTCTGAAATGACTTAACATCTGCCACTCACACTGAAGAAGGGAATTGCTGCCAAGTGCCAGAGGAGATTTGGAATTTATGTCATTGCTCCTGAATTTGGAAAACTAGTAAAGGAACATTAAAATAGAAAAATTGGTTATTGGTTTAACTGTAAGATCTGTGGAGCAAAAGCAGTATTGGCAATATAACTAGATGAATTATTTAGGTAGCTGGCAGTATTTTGTTTAAATACACTGAGTGCACTGACAGGGGAGCATGTTTATCTGGAATGTCTCAAAAATGACGTAGGTATTAACAAGTAAATGTGGGTTGTAATACTTTGATATCAGTAAGAGTAGTGAAAGAGTTACAGCAAAAATGATGATGCTAATCAGCTCAACTGTATGTTTTCAATAGCTCCTTATAGCCACAATGGCAACGTCATCTGAAGAAGTGTTACTGATTGTAAAGAAGGTACGTCAGAAGAAGCAGGATGGAGCTCTCTACCTTATGGCTGAAAGGATAGCATGGGCACCTGAAGGCAAGGACCGATTCACCATCAGCCATATGTATGCAGACATAAAATGTAAGTGAACACTTCTCCTCTGCCAGCTCCAGTGAGCAGTATTTCGATAAACACTTCAATACAACCCACAGCTTATTTGCCATAAAACACTAGTAGGTAAGTTAGGAAAGTTGCAAGGGTCTGGAGCTCTGACTTCATTATACTGTGTAGCAGCAGAGATCAGGACCATGGTGAAGTATCACCAGTTTATTAAGGATGCCACTGCAGAACTTGGGTAGCCTTCAGGTGTTTAACTTATTCTGCATTTACTATTAACTTTTGATAAACTTCTGCAATAAATTGAACAGAAAAATAATCTCTGCCATATGCTTGTTGAGGGAAGGGTGGGAGGAGGGTTGAGGAAGAGTACAGGATTTTCAGGGTCTAACACAGAAACTATCTGGCATGTCATCTGTTAAACTGTGCATCTAAAGCTGTTTCAGTTTTCACAAAAAATGAACCTTGCTGTTTTATTTTCATCTAACAGACCATAGCTTCAGAAGTGCTAGCTTCTGTAGTTTGGCCTAACTGGTTACATTCCAAATAAGCCTTTGCTGTTGCAATAGCAGAGTACTTGCAAGTCAAAACTGAACAGTAAATGTCTATAGCATGCTGCTTTGTGGCTGCAATTACTGCTTGTATTCCATGTGCTGTAATGCCAAAGAAGCAATAAAAAAAGATGTACGTGTCACTTGGTAAACGTTTAGTGATTATTGCAGTTTAAAGTCATATACAAGTACTGCACCATGATCAAAGTGTGTGATGAATCAGAACTAATATGCTGGTTTCTTAAATGCAGATGTTTTAAGGAGTTTAATAGCTCTGTTCACCTATAATAATCAACTTCGTGAAGGTTTTATTTAGCTATTTATTTACACTCGATCAGCTTCTATTTTAAATATTTACATGTATATGCATTGAAGTCTTTTTAACTTTGATGAAAGATGCTCTTTTTTGTCATCTAAACTAAAAAAAAAAAACAGGGAGAGGGTGTTTGTAATTGTTTAATAGAGATGATGATTTAGTAGTGACATCTGGTTCCTGTCTCCCACTTGCACTGGAGAAGGGGGTAAGATTTAGTTAGGTTAGTGCCATTTGCAGTGCTACACTGCAGTCAGTACAGCACAACAGTCCATGAACATAGTTGTTCTGGCCTCTGCTCCCTCTGGTTAGGAGAAAGGAAGCAGGAGTTAGGTTTTCCTTATGAGTCATGAGGGTGTAATGGCACCTTGGAGGCATTGGTGATTGGGAGTGCTAATGGCTAGGTACACTTACCACACCACCTGAAACCAGCATACGTTCGCTGTCCACAGACATGCTGTTACTCCACCCCACATCTGCTTTCTTACCACTTTTCTTCTGTGGGAACTGGTCCAGCTGGAAAAACAAAAGGGGGTGACTTTTCAGTGGGTCAGTTCCTTGGTTCAGCTTGCTGCACAGACACTAACACTCGTACAAGAAAAGGCATCAGAAAGAAGTGGAAAGGGGGAATGAGGTTGTCACCTTCCAGCAGCAGCCTGGGTTGGTACCAGGTTAAAGTGTCCAGGTGATGACAGTCTAATTTGCAGCATTCTTCTAATGGAGGATGTGGGGAATGCAAAGATGAGTCAGGGCTCCTGAGCAGTGGCTGAAGATACTGAGCAACCAGCTACTCCATGTCTTGTGTTCTAGAGAGAACAAGGTGCAGGGTTCAAACTAATTTAAGGGGAAGACTGTCTGTTCCACTTTCGTGGCTGGAATGCACTCACAGGGTAGTGGTATGTAATTGGATGATGAGGCTAACTGCTTATAAGCAAATACTCTAGGGAAGAGAGTTTCTTGTATAAGCTTACTGTCTGTTGCTAATTAATACTCTCTGTGTAATCTAGGCCAGAAAATCAGTCCAGAAGGTAAAGCGAAAATTCAGCTTCAGCTAGTATTGCATGCAGGGGACACAACCAACTTTCACTTCTCCAATGAAAGCACAGCAGTGAAGGAGCGAGATGCAGTAAAGGATCTTCTTCAACAACTGTTGCCCAAGTTCAAAAGGAAAGCTAATAAAGAACTTGAGGAGAAGAACAGGTAAACAGCAAGGAACTTTAAATTTTTGGGTTTTTTTTTTTAATTGTTACCTAAGTATAGTGTATTTCTGCTAACAGTTGTTACTGCAACATTGTTAGTGATACAGCATTTGTTTCTCTAGTAAAAATCTCTCCACTTTCAATTTAGAGGCAGTTCCTTGAGCCTTGCATAACTGCAACATGTTGAGACTATGCTCGTGTTCTCCATGACATGTTCTTGAGGTGTAAAGGCAGCCAGCCCGGCTGCCACCCAGTCTTTGTTATCCATGGCTACGAGACGAAAGTACCCAGCTGGCAGTCTGTCTCTTTAGTCCTCTAAAGTAAATATGTATCAGTTAGAAAAGCTGCTTGAAAGTTGTTGTGGGTTTTTTTTTCTTTTGCAGAAGTTCTCACCTTCCTTGATTTGCGATTTTTTTTTTTCTCCCTTTATAACCTTTTCCCCCTCAAATCTTCTTTCCTGGTTTATATACTCTACTAAATTGCTAGGTATTTTCATGCGTCTCAAGTGAGATGCAGTAGTTTGTTATTTGGCATACAGGATGTTTATTCTAAAAAATGTTTTGAGAAGACATCCAGGACCTAAAGCCCTTTTCCCGAAAGGGCTTTTAAGATACACTTCCATTTAAAATGTTTCTGTTAAACCAGTCCTTGTGGCCGTAGAACACCCTTTTCTTCTCCATCTTCCCAGATGAATTTCACTTCATTTTAACTTCTGCTGTGAATCCTGTGTCTACTAGCTTCTGTTTCCAAAGACTGTTCTAGTTTTAACCTTAGCTAAGTTAAAGCTAGATTGTTTCAAAACACGGGAACATTGCCTCATTGGGCAGATCAGATCTTTACAAGATCTCCCAGCAGAAGGGCAAGAGCACTTGTGCTGGAGCTGTGACACATCCAGGATTAACTGGTTCCAGTACTGCAGCAACCACTAGGGTCTGCAGCAGTGCAGACTGCTTTGGCACAATTACCATACTAGTTTCTTTATGCTGCGTGCCTTACTTCTAACAGTGATAATCCTGAGTACACGGCCAGTCTTAGCTCTGAATGTTTATATCCTTAAATGGAGCTTTACAGTATTATGCCATGTGGCATTAAGAGCTTTTCTAGTTACAGAAGAGCCAGAATCTCTGCACATAGTCATAGTCTGTTCTTTTGATAATGAGAAGTCCAAGTCTAGTGATGGGACCTCATTAGCTTAATTTGCAACAGATGAGACAGAAAAGTTTCAACCTGTTCTGGAAGGGTACTACATCCAGAGTTCCTGTGGCACTTCCTCCATTTATTGATATGTGGGGGTCAGGTATGTACCAAAATTCCAAGTGTTAATGACATAATTAGAATAACAGACTGCTTCCTGTTGCACTAATTTGTAAGAATTGCCACTAATCCATATTTGTTAGCAACAAGAAAAACTGGAAAAACCTTGGTGGTTAAAACATAATAGGGATGTCCTGCCACCAAGTTTTCACTTACCTCACCCTACTTCCTCCTTAGAGCAGCTACAGACTTTGGTTCAGTATAGACTGCAGTTTATCCATGTCCTTCCCTAGACCACATACTATGTATTCAGAAGATTCCTATGTTTTTCTTGTTTGCAAATGATCAGGACCCTGAGGCACATGCTAAATGTTGAGGTTATTGGCTGATTGTGAACACGTATGCACGTTTCCCTGAAAATAGCCCAGCGGGTTTCAGGTTAGGTACACAGCTGTATGAAAAACTGCTTAGACATGAATTAACTGAAGTTTCAGGTGTATTCTTTGTATTTTGGATAGTGAGGGTGATAATTGATATCTGGATGATAACTTTTGTAAACATTATTCCCTGGTGCAAGTAGTAACACTGTTTCTGTAGCATTTGTATGGCATGTGATAGTTAAATAATGAGGATCCTACTGTCACCAACAGACAAACAAACAAAGAACTCTGGGCAGCATATATTTTAAGGTATCTTATCCCACACATATTTTGTAATATCTACTCTTGCACTATAATAGAGACCTGTAACTACTGAATTTTAAGATCTTAAACAAGAATTGGATAGTGCTGAAATTTCCTTTCTCCCCCACCCCAAGACCTTTGTTATGGAAGTTGAAGAAAATTCATTATGCTTTTATAGTTCTGGAGACTCCAGTCCTGGACATGCAGAGGCACAAGAGCACCACCGAATATTTCTAGGACAAGACATTAATTCCACATGAACTTTTTCTTAGGCATTACTGTTTTCTAGCATTTAATACTATTCTTTAAACTTTTTTTTAGTCCTTTCTTAATTCTTTTGAGACAAATATAGCTATCGAGGTTGGATGTTAACACAGTCTTGTTAAGAAATGCACAGCAATTTGAAAGAAAAGTGGGTTTCTGTTCCTTTTGTGAACTCATGTTAGTTGTGGAAATCCTAGTGATTTATTCTGCAGCGTTTCAATTCTATTCAATACATTCTTTTACCAGAATGCTGCAAGAAGATCCTGTTTTGTTTCAGCTCTATAAAGACCTTGTTGTGAGCCAAGTAATCAGTGCTGAAGAATTCTGGGCCAACCGTTTAAGCCTGAATGCAGGGGATAATTCTGCAGCACCTAGTAAGCAGGATGTGGGCATCTCTGCAGCATTTCTGGTATGTTGAACCTCTGACTTCAAGGATTTTAGAGCAAACAAATTGGGGAAAGAGAGTTCTGCTGATGTACTTTAAAGTATATGGGAATAATGTTGTTCTTTCCTGGTTCCTCAACATCCCTCCACATGTTCGTTTGACTACAGCAAGTGTAAAGGAGGGAAAAAAAAAAGTAAAGGTTTTACACAAATCTGCAACCTCAAAATTTTGTCAATTTAAGATGCTCAATTTGGACTTTAAATTGACAATAGATATTTTTTATAATGCTGCTCTGCCAGGAATATGGCAATGAATAATGGTGAACTTACAGTCACTATATTACAGTGTACTAACTCAGTAAGTTAAAAAGAGTATCTGTTGCAGCATTGATGTGCATAAATCAAGCTGCAAAGACTTCACACACAAAAGGTTTTAGTCACTTCCCTTTTTTTTAAACCAGTACGTGCTTTCAGCTACTTGAAGAACAACTTGTATATGTGAAAGCTTGTTTTATCTCTCTCGTTCCCCGACTTTCACTTATGTTACCCATTTGTAGAAACCATGCTTCAGTATAAAAGTAATCTAGGTCCCATCTTCAGATTCCTCCCACAGAGACATGTTTCTCCCTCTGCAACAGAATTCATACAGATTGTGACACTCCAATTGGAATCTCATTTCTGCCTCTGTGCACACCTCAAGGGTTTAGGAGGGAAAGGGGAGGTGGGAGCTGTTTTATGGCTTAGCTACTGTACAGACACTAGTTTTTTTCCCCTTAGAAATACCTGAGTCAGTTAGCAAATGAACTTGATTGCTCTGATTTCCTGTCTCCCATTATTCTTTTACCTTAACATTAAAAAAACAAAACCAAAACCCACTCAAACCCAAACCTTCAAAACTGAAGCTTTCTTAAAATGACTGGTTGTGTTTGTGTACTCTCCATTTGTGAAGAGGAAAACTCCAGATATTTGTGCATCGTAGGTCAAGTTAAAATAACCACCTGGCTCTGCTCAGAATGAGCGTTTCTCTAGGAAGAAGGTGGTGCAAATACTAGAATTAAGGTGTACAGGAAAAGGAAGAAAAGAAGTCAGCACATGCAATTGTGTCCTTTTTCCTGTTACTGAGAACTGGACTGAGCACTTGCTTGCCACAGAGGTCACCGAGATCTAACTGGCAAGTTCTGACTAAGGCTTACCCTCAATTTTTAAATTCAGTGTTATTTATCAGGTATACTGAGATGCTTTTAGTGTATAAAGAACTCAGGTGTAAGAGCTATAAATCCTTTTTTGTCACTTCATTATCATCACTGATTATTCACTAGCTGAATAGTTGACTGAACAAGAAAAGATTAGGCATATACAGTAAATATGCCTATTTTTACTTTGAAACAAGGATATATTAAACTAAGCATATCTTCTTTTGACTGATGGAGTGGTCTTTGCTTTTCATCTTCTAAACCTTACAGTCTACTTGTTGAATCATCCCTTAAGTGGCAAGTATAATAAAGTAATTAATGCATGCTTTTTCATTTCTCATTCTAAAAATACCTATTTATGATCAAATATGCTATGGATTATTGGAGGAAGAAGATTATTTTATGTGCAGCAGAATTTGATTGCGAGATGCCAGGTTTTTTCCTTCTCCAGTTACAGAAGGCATTCAGACATCACTGTTTTTTCTCCCTGTGTGCTTTTTCTTAGGCTGATGTACGGCCTCAAACAGATGGCTGCAATGGTCTGAGGTATAATTTGACTTCAGACATCATTGAATCCATATTTCGAACATATCCTGCAGGTAAGAACAGTGCTTTACATAACAAATACATGCATTTAAGATTTGGTGTTTACTATCTTACTGTGGGAAGCCTGGAATGTTAGTCTGAGCCTGGAAGTATTGAGGACCATATCCTCAGTCTCCTGGATGATTTTCTCTGCCTTGTTTGAGGGCTGAGAAGAAGCATGTGCTAAAACATGCTTTTGAAATGAAAACTTGATTTTGTTAAATGAAAACATTTTAAGTTGTTGCATAGAACTTTTGCACTAACTTTTTGCATTGACCCTTTTTTCTTTCTTTTTTTTTTTTTTCTTTTTAAGTTGTGAGTAGATATTTGGCTCCCGTGATACCCTACAAACTTCTTGTGTGTGTGCAATTCAAATTAGAGTATTCAGCCCACTATTACGTGCATGTCTTTTCAAAGCATTAGCTGGCATTGCAGGGTATAAAAGAGTACCTGTTTGCTCATGCTTAACTACTACATTCCCTTACATTTAATCAGCCTGAATGAAGGCAAGATTAGATAGAAGGCAAGGAAGCAAGCAAGGAAATTTTAATGTAAAACACTGTATTAAGATTTGTGGAACAGTTTGTAATCACCATGTTTTTTGTTCACAGTAAAAATGAAATATGCAGAAAATGTTCCCCATAACATGACCGAGAGGGAATTCTGGACACGATTTTTTCAGTCTCATTATTTCCATCGGGACAGGCTCAATACAGGCTCAAAAGACCTATTTGCAGAATGTGCCAAACTGGATGAAAAAGGTAAACTTTAAACTTAATTTCTGCAGTAGGCTGCTACAGTCTCAGCTACGTCACAGAGCACAACACTCTGGGTACATCTAGTAAACTTAGCAAAGCTGAAGTCAGTTTTCTTATGTCCGTTCACTGGGCATCTTGTTTGTCAAACTAAAGCAGAAGCTACAGACTGTCACTGAAAGTTGGCTATCGCTTTGCTGTTCTTAACATGTTTGATAGTGAGTACACTTCTTGAAACACATTAGCCTTTGGAAAGTGGTGGCAGCAGAAATACTCTTTACTCATGCAACAGTAAATCTGTGGTAAATTCTGTAATATGCCATCGTGCTAGACAGATTATGCTCTGCCATCAGTTACTATGGAAGCATTTTGTTTACAAAAATTGTGTGTGCACAATTTGTAAGAGGTATAGCTTTTGTTATACATCAGGTTTTAGTAATAGACAAATATGGACCCTGTTTAAGATTTTCCAGAGGAGTTGCCATCCTTGTTCTCTGTCAACCTTTTTAATGTGAAATCTTAAAATACTATCTTACTTAAGTTCTTAATGAATTTTTGAGATAGGTTTGTGATGATACAGAAATATAGAGAGTTGAGATCACCCAACACCATTCCTTAATACATATTGTTACTAACAAAAGCACTGTGTTAGGAATCCATGACACTTCACAAATAAAAGCTATCACCAAGTTACCATTCGACCCAAGACATGGCAGCAAAACAGTGCCGAAATTAGAAGCAACACAATTAAGGCTTCCCAGTTCCCACTAATACAACTAATAAAACTGCATCTTCAGGGGTTTTTGGGGTTTTTTTTTCCCCCCAAACAGTATTTAGTGATGTATAGAAATTGATAAAAACTGCACTAACTAGTAGGACAGTCTTTTACAATAACTTTCCAAGTTTATTGCTTATTTTGAATGGAACTTTGAAAAGGGTTGAAAGTTTTAGTCACAGTGATACTTGGGCATCTGCAGAACCTTTGTCTTCTCCTTTTAAAGGTTAAATGTGATCTAATAATAGCACAATTATTTTTATTTGTTTAGATACAGTTTTTCATGTTTTTTTGTTCCATGCAGGGTTAAAAACAATGGTGTCTCAAGGAGTGAAAAACCCTCTGATAGATTTAACAGCTTTGGAAGATAAAACATTAGATGAAGTAAGTAGTTGGGGGACACCCACACACCCCCACTTAGTTTAATCTAAGGAGAAAGTAGGTCCTTCTCCTGTTAAAATAACTACAAATTCTAGGATAGTTATGTTAGAAGTGCTGTGCAAGCTGCCCTAGTTTGCTTTTGAGGCTGGTTAACTGCAAGCATGAAACCGAGCATGGGGTAAGGTGAGTTGCCTTCAGCCACCTGGTAACTGGGGAACACTGCCAATATTAAGGCTTGAGGTTTTTTGAGTTCCTGGTAGTATCACACGCTCCTGACAGATGTCATTTAGCCTGTGGGCTGCTGGTGTCCCACAAGATGTTACAAAGAGGTCAGTACAACAGTTGCTGGCTCTTACTCGCCATCAATGCCTGTCTGTTTCATACAGGCAATACTTCAATTTTTTTTAAGCTAGATCTGTTTTTACTTAAAAGAATCATGGTCATATAAAACTATCTGTTTAAGAATGTTTTTCTTCTCTCAGGCACCTCTAAACTGCCCAGTTTATCAGAATACAATAGTCTATGGAGACTTTTCAAAGTACATAAAGTGATGGTGACGGGGAGGTAGGAAAATACTGCTTCAGGTGATGATGCAGTGTCACTCAGTAAAGTTTAGAGGAGGTGGCATGCAGCTTCCTGACTCAATGGAAAACAGAATCATCCTTCTGGCTTTGGGGTAAGAGGTAGCTAATGTTGTTTTCTTTGTAGGGCTATGGCGTTGCTTCTGTGGCCTCTACATCAAACGCGTCAAAATCCGCTAGAGAAAGTAGCAATGCTGCCATTATAAAACGCTTTAATCATCATAGTGCCATGGTCCTTGCAGCTGGCCTCAGGAAACAGTAAGTTTCAATGTTGTGCAAAAGCTTTTTTGTAACAAGTTTTAAGGAATTTCCAAAACAAAAATACATCTTCAATTACTCATCAAACCTTTTAATTTAATTTTTATGAATGAAATCTTTTGCTCTAGAAATTAAAATACCTTTAGGTTCTATTTTACTTTATAAAAGTTCTGTAGAGCTGTCTGAGATGACAAATGCTATTTTTAGCTCGGTTGTTATCATACAAAGCAGATTAAAAAGGAAAGGATGTTATTGCCTTAGCTCTCTAGCTCTGGTGAAGGCTGCAGTAGTGTTCTGTTTGCTGTGTGGCAGTGAGGTCTGGTGCAGGGAGCTGCTACTGCCTGCCTTCCAGGAGCAGCTCTGCTGGGGCTTCCTGTAGTGGGGTGCATGGACATAAGCAAAGGAGGACGCAAAAGAACAGTGTGGCATGGGCAGATCAGATGAAAGATTCCTCCAGTGCAGTACCCTGCCTCTGACCAAAACAAACAAACAAAAAAGTATCAGCTGGTAACATATATTTATGGTAAACTTCACAAATGAAACTTCTTGAGAGACATGAAATGTGTTTGATGTGAAGTCTGCTTTACAGCTGGTTTATAGACAGGCACTCTACTCTCTTTACCTGTAAGAGATCTTAGTTACTTTCTTCCGTGTAGCTGTGCTCCCTCATGTTCTTCTGTCTTGCACAAATGGAACAGTGGACCTTAAACAACCTCTTCTGGGTAATGTGTGTTTCTGTTTCTCAGTTCAGAAAGAGACAAACCAATAGCTCTCAATCTGAAACAGTGCTGCCTCAGGGCACCCATAGCTCTGCTGATACCTGGTTGGCATCAGCGTGCACGCAAAGGGTTTCTAGTTCCGGCATGATTTTGCTGTGTCCCACTTGCACTGTGGGCATGCTGCTATTTCTGAAGAGAAGGAGAAGCACCCTCCCTGCTGTTGAATTTCCCCCTTGACAAACAGGGTTATTTGAGGAGTTCGTTCTACCTAGATCAACTTCTAGAAATGAAGACAGAAGGGGAAAAAAGCTGATATGCAGTATGTGAACATGCTGATAAAATTTTTGAAACAGATGTATTTACTTTGTCTCTAGCTTGTATCTTAAGTTTCCTGTGAGGTGAATTCTTCTTAATGCTGTTTCTCTATTTTAAGAGAAGCACAAAATGACCATTACAGTGAGACCAGCAGTACGGATGGAAACTCCAGGGATTCAGATTTCTTTCAACCACCACTGAAAAAGGTATAAAGTTAGCTGATGCAATTCTAATTGAATGGAACTAGAAGCTCTGTCTCTAGAAAGATTGCTGAAGGTTCCTTACTTGTTTTATGATGCATCTAAAGTGATACTTATTTAGCGTTGCTTAGAAGTATGTAGAAGAACCCAAGGGCCTATAAAAAGCTTTGTACCTCTGTTAGTAAACACAAATAAATTACACCTTGAAGTACTGTTCTGTTATCTCTTCAGTAGTGCCCAATGAAAGTAAAAAATTCCCAACGTGCTTCTGATTGGACCCAGAAATCTGGTTCTTTCCATTCAGTGCAGTTCTATTTTTGCCCACCGCCTCCCCCCCCGATTTTTTTTCAAAATGCCTGAAAACTTCCAGAGAACATCCATCTGAAAGGAATATGGGTCTTCAAGCACCTATCAAGTGTATGATCTGTAGAGGGGATGATTAAACTGGCCCACGGCAGCCTTCATCTTAAGGTCAGAAGCTGAAGTGAGGTTAAACTGAAAGTGTAGTGACACCTGGTGCACTGAAATACAGGACAACAGCCTATTTCAGACTAAGCAGAGCAGCTCACAAAGTAGAGAAGAGTACTGTAATTGCTACAAAACTGAATTGAATACTCTTGCTAGAGTTGACAGCCTAAATAGGAAATGCCAAGAGGACTCAAAACCTGCATATATTGTGAGAAAAGGTTGTAGAATACACGTGTTGTTAAACGTTGAGGTAGTCAACAGCTTTGACTTTCCTGAAAGCTACAACTTTTACTGGGGAGTAAATGATACACCAGGGCTAGAATAAATGTGATGAAAAGGGGAGTGAAAGAGTAGCATGAGAGCAGGAGACTTCAGAAGTAAGTTTTCTCATTGTACCAGTCTGATATCGCTGTGCTGTTACCACCTCTCACTGCTAATGCTTCAGTTCTGCTATCAACAAATAGTTTGTGTAACTATTATGGTTTTAGTCTTACACTCTTGTATACCAGCCATTAAATCATTACTATTTCTGCTAGCCTGGAGATAGATGGACATAAATAGAACACAAAGAGTGATCTATGTATAGCAGAGCACTCTTTGGAAGTGGCAGGGACTGCAAGTTTTGGCCAGAATCTGCAGGAAAAAAGTGGTAATGCCAAGATTTGCACATTGCAGAGTTTAAATAATACTGGGCACTGCTCCCTCTGGAGGGTAGACGTGAACCATTCTACACTTCAATTTTCCTTAAGGTTTTAGTAACCCCTCTGCTTAAACTCCGTGAACTGGAAGAAAATACTAGATGCATCAAATTCTGTCCTCATTAGTAATGTGTGTAATTATTTGTCTTATTTCAGGTGAAACTGCAGGAGTCCATTGAATATGAAGATTTAACAAAGAATAATAGCATTAAAACTATTGCACTAAACTTAAAGAAGTCTGATAGGTGAGTTAACAAAACATGCACGGTCATTTCAGCATATTCATCTAGCAGGTCTCTCATCACAGCCTGCACAGAATCAGCTGATTTAGTGCCACACTCAAGTGTATTTAGGTTAAGTTTAGAAACCTAATGTGAATTTCTGTATAAACCAATTTCTAAGTAATTTCCATTTAAATTTGTATTTTGATTGTCTTGCTTTTCAGCAAGTTAAGTCTCTGTAAGCCTACTTGAAGGGCTTTGATGTGTTATTTCTGTAGAAGTCAAACAGACTTGTATTCACAGTTCAGCACTCTGTTGCAGCTTACAGTGGAAAAATGTATGTGTTACATGTGAAAACAGATACGATTCCAAGTGCAATCAGGATAGTTAGGACTGCTCACTGGTCTAGTATTTTTCTAGTAATAGTCCTCTCGTTTTCTAGACTTTTGAGTTTGAGATCCATAGATGCAACTTCAGAAAATAAGTGATACTACAGGACAGAGAACAGTTTCAAATGTACACCTAATTTCATTTAGCTTAGTTTCAATCAAAACTGGTGTGAATGCCTCTATTCGAACGATATTCCCAGAACAAGGTGGCACGGATAGCTTTTCATTAGCAAAATGATGCTCACAGATTTAAAAATAAAAGCTCTTCTCTTATTTTGCTGCCATACCACCCCAAACTCAACCTCTTCCCATGTGGCAATGTATTTTAGTTTGTCACTAAATAAGATGTAGATAGTGGCATCAACAGGATCAAAGCATCTAAAATTGGAAACATTTGGAGAAGTGTCCACCGAGTTTGGCCTGTTTTACCAATTCTCCTACCAATATACTTTTCTCTTTCCTTTTCTCACCTCACAGGTATTATCATGGTCCAACTCCAATTCAATCACAGCAATATGCAACCAGTCAGGATATAATTAATTCTTTTCATAGTATTAGGCAAGAAATGGAAGCATATGTACCCAAACTAACTCAGGTATGGAAGAATACTCAAAAAAATTCCCTTGTTGTCAGCATTTTGCTTGCTATATAATTTTGAATCTCATGTCTACTGGAATTTTAATTTTTCAGGGTAAACTTAATTATCTCCAATAGTTTTATGTTGTTCAATTTATTTTAAAACTTTAGGTGATATATTTTGAGCTGTTGTGTTTAAAATCTAAACAATAGGAAACTGAGCCATTGCTGATATTCAAAGTTACGTTCTACTCTTTAAAAAAGTTCTTTTGAGGAAAGGGTAAAGGTGTAAAGCAGGACAGTCATGCAACATGAAGCACAGGCCAGTATTATTGATCCCACCCCCTGAAATTTAGGATGTAATGGTCTTAGGAGGTCCCAGTAAGCAGGTTTATAACTGAATGGGTCTTTTGCTCCTAAATGCACTGAGGCAGGACTTAGCTCTCACTGTAGGTTGTACAGAAGCTCTGTCCTGGCAACTGGAGGGCAGCATAGCCATGTAGCCAACCTCCACAGCCAGTATCTGAACTTCCTCTGTTAATAAACCTAGATTTGGTTCTAAGTAAAGGAGCCACAACTGTGGATGTGTCACATTTCTGTAGAGTAATTCTCTGTCTCATTTCAAAGTAGCTGCACAGACAGTTCAGGTACTAGGTAAAGAAAAGGTTTGTTTGTCCATAATTAATTGGAGAGCTTTCACTGAAACTGTGAGCTATAGCACTTAAAGGCACTGTGTCTTAATTCTGGAGAAGAGCAGACTTCATCAGAACTTCCATTGTATTTGCTCAACTGTATCTTTGTCATTAGAGTTCAAATACAACGTATTTTAGAAATATTTTGTTGGAAAAAGTTATGTGAAACGTGTTTCCTCTCTCCCTTCAGGTTCTTTCAAGTGGTGATGCTGCTAGCACTATTGCAGTCCTGTCACCTGGAGGAGCACTTATGCAGGGTGGAACACAGCAAGCCATAAACCGTAAGGATTTAGGATGTATATTACTTTAATCGTATCTTATTGCATTATTCAGCAGTACCTGGCTTGCTGTTTCATCTCTCTCTCAGGATACATTACAATGATAAAGGAAACTATGGAAACATGTAGCTGGAGTAATACTGCATTACAGCAACAAAAGAAAAGCAACAATCCAGCCACACTGTGAGGGTGGTACTGGCTACACCAGTGCTGAGCAACTGAATGAGAGAATTTTACAGATCAAGTGATGAAGGACGCACTAGACACTAAGCCCTCTTACAGATGATGGGGTTTGCTTGATCAGCATTTCTCTTTTCTGATTTTTTTTTTTTCCCCTGGATTTTAGAAAACAAATGCATACTCTGGGAAAGCTTTAAGGAGGTGAGGCCTAGATAAACGTCTAGAAGCAAGTTTTTTGCAGCCTGCGTTTAAGATCCACAGCTTGCTGTGAAAAAGAATAACTTTCTTGTAGACTGCAAGGGCAAAACAGGCAACCCCTCCTTCTCACATCTCCATTCAACCACCTCTTTCTCTGTCATCATATTCCTGCCAGTTTGAGTTGCTTTCTCTTTAGTCTCACAGCAGATGAATCCCTATTCTCACAAGGCAGAGTTTATAACAGTTTTCCAGTTTAATTTGTGTTACTTGGTCTGAAGAGCAGCAGAAACTGATAATTCAGACAGCTGAAAAAGCAAGTATGAGTTCTTTATGGTACGCAAAGAAAAGGAGTCAGCAAGCAGTAGCAAGGCTTTCTTGCCCATCCCAGTTGACATACTGGGTGCTACACTCTACTTCTTTGAGCCTGACCACTACTTTAAAAAAAACCAAACAACAAACAAAAACAAAAACCACGGCAACAACAAGCACCTAATCCTAGAGTTTGCTATTCACTCTTCAGTTCACTGTGCTCCTGTCATCCTCAATGACTGCTTGTGCTTTCTTGTCTTTGGTTTTTATGATTGTGGTTCCTTCCCTGTTCTTGAACCCTGTCACCCTTTCTTCTTTAAGAGTATCTGGGATACAGTTCCTTGTTCTTGCACAGATTTTTCATTTTCCACATACTGTGACCATATTCTTATTGTCAACATAAGAGAGAGGGAAAAGCTTGCAGTATCCACCATACAGTATTTAGCACTGTGGTGTGAAGAGAACAAGGTGCTGGTCCCAGCAGCAGTACTGCCACACTGTTGGAACAATACAAATACACTGCTGCTAATCCTGGATTAACTTTGGTTTCCATTCTTTGCCTGGCATAGATCTCCCTATATAATATACAAGCTTCCAAGTATATAGCCATAAATAGCAGCTGACCTGATCTAATACTGCTGATAGTCCTACTTCAGGTGTGAGGCACCTCAGCATTTCCTCCCAGCCAACCTTTTTATGATTCTAGTAGAAATGTATATTGCTGAACTCCTTCATTAGTCTTACATTCTCATTTTTCATATGACAGTTTTGAGTGATGTGACAAAATCTTTTTCCTGTTGTAGAGATGGTGCCAAATGACATTCAGTCTGAACTAAAACACTTGTACGTGGCAGTAGGGGAACTGCTACGACACTTCTGGTCCTGCTTCCCTGTTAACACGCCATTCCTAGAAGAAAAGGTAAGGTGGAGCTCCCTGGTGTCGCCCTGGTAATGATGTGGTCAGATCCTGGTTTAGAATGACTGTCATTAACTTGAAGTATAGAACTAATACACATGCTTTAAATCAGTGCAGCACTTCCTCATCCCTAGAAGTGAAAGTCACAAAACACCAAAACGTTACTTTTTCCAACAATTCTGCTGGTGCTATTGGTTAAAATCATCCTTGTCCCTGCATGCCTGTGCACACCCTTCGGGAGCAGTTGCTGTAGGCTAGTTTCAAACAGAATGGGCAGCTCCATTCCTAAAATGCAGATTTCTCAGTGCCAGTTTAAAACACACAAACTAAAGCCCCCTCCTTCCCCAACTCTTAGACATAACCTCTGCAGTGACAGTTACAAGAAATTTTTCCTTATTCTTCTGTCCATTGCAAAATCACTCATTCATAGCTTCAAAGCATACACTGCCTTTTAGAACAAAGTTACCATCAAGAAGAGATGTCTGTCTACACCAGGTATATGATTGTAACCATTTTTGGTTGCTATTCTTTCTTTTGACCTCACAAAGATAAAGTTTGCATTCAGATATGTTGGATTTTCTGCTGCAAAACGTGGCCTGAAAATCCAGGGTACAGTTTTTGCTTGAAGCAAAAAGAAGACGGTTTTGTGAATATCTTACCTAGAGTATTTACTGACAAAGTAAAAACGATCACAGCAGCACAGTGCACTTTCAGTCATAGCACACTTGCCTCAAAAATAAGTATGTGCTCAAGAATTGTTAGAGACTGATATTTTAGTAACTTTTCTTCCTCAAACTATATGTACTTAAAGTAGCCCCCAGAATTAGTTACAAGGTAGTGTTGTTGGAGAACAATTTATTAAAGGAAATGAAACTTATGTGCAAGTGATTATAATACTGGTTTTCTGCCTCTCTCTCAGGTTGTGAAAATGAGGAGCAACTTGGAAAGATTTCAGGTTACAAAGCTCTGCCCATTCCAAGAAAAGATTCGGAGACAGTATTTAAGCACAAATGTAAGGAGAAAATACTCTTTAGTTATGTGGGTGCATGTCACTAATTTTAATCGTAATTACCACAGGATGGAAGTTTTTTTTACTTCTTATCCTAGGGCATTTTATATTTTTTGTTAACTAGGAAATGGGGAGAGGGAAATCGAGTACAGCAAGTTTTCCCTCCTGACTTGCTGAATAACAGCAGAAACTGTCAGAACTGTAATTTGAAATTACCCAAGTGAGACAACAAAAATGGGAAGTCATGTTTCATTTTTAACTTTCACCATGAAATACAATTTTAGCAACTTCAAAACTGTCTCCCACGATGTCAGAGTAGAAGTGGTCACAGACTAAATACCGGAACAGAGACAGCACAATCAAGTGTCACTTCCCTGTGACCTTCTCATCTTAGTGGCTCTGGGAACTGCTCCCTCTACAGATACTTTGCAATAGATCCTCAAGGTCCTTTCTCTCTTTATCTGGTACCTCTTTGATATTAGTGAGATTACTCTTAGTGAATAAAAGGAAGAATCCAACTGAGTATCTGACCAAAGAGAGGGGAGGGGGGCTGTTTTCCAGAAGCTGAGACATTTTTTTCCCTCTCTTAATGTTTCAGTTGGTAAGTCATATAGAAGAGATGCTGCAGACGGCCTACAATAAGTTCCACACATGGCAGTCCCGGCGTATGCTGAAGAAGACGTGAACATGCATGCTGTACAGGTTTGAGAGCAAAATCTGCAATAGGTATAGGAGTACAACCTAGCATATGTGCAGATCTTATAGTTGTTGCAGGAAGACCTGCAAGCTGTGGACTTCTGGAAATGATGCTAACTGAACTTGCACATTTTTGAAAAAGAACTGAGATTTAAACTTGAAAACTAGGGAGAAAAACAAGGAAGAACCAAAACAGAAGAGCTGAGGCGCAAAAATATTTAAAAGACACTGTTTACTGCAGTTACTCAGGAACTGCTTTTGATTTGCATAAAGAGCTGCTTTCAGAAATAAATTTAAAGAGGGTGTATTAATAAAATCTGTTTTTTCTGTCCTTTTTTTTTTTTTTTTAAGAAGCGTATGGCACAGGGTAGAACTTAAAAGTTTTTCTTCACTGGATTCTGACCTTTTATTGAATTCTGTTTGTACTTTCTGCAACAGTTTAACAATTATATTTTAAAATATAGCTGAGACTTTTTGCTTCAGACATCTGGGCAAGTGTAGCTGTCAGAAGACAAGCTTCTGCCATATGTTTCCCCACCAATTGGAAGCAAGAGACGTTGCACTGAAAGCTGTTTATGGTCTGGAGTCCCTAAAGGCACATGGGTGCAAACTTTTGCCTGAAGTCTTGGATTTTTATGCAGAATTTTTTCAGCCATCAGTTTTGCATGTTTTCCTTTGGGTGCAAGTGTGTGCTACTGCAATTTATTTTTTTTTAAGGTGGCATTTGTTCTGAGGAGAGAATGCATTTTTAAAAATGAAGTTAAATAAAGTTTCTTACAAAAGAAGTCATTTATTTTCAATTGTTAGACATTTTTTATTTCTTCTCCTAAATCTGTTTTCCTTCACTCTTCCCTTTTGACTGTTACACTATTTTTGGCGAATTGATAATCACTGCAAAGAGAAAAACATGTAATTTACACAATGCCCATAGATATTGGGAATCTGTGCCATACTTTGTTCCAAATAGAATCAGTTCACAGTTTCAGACCAACTTGTCTCGTATTAAATGTGACTTAAATGCAGAGTAAACCTGTTTTCTATAATATATGCAGTTTAATGACATCCTTGTATTTTGTTGTCATCTCGACTGTACTAGAGCCCACTATGGGCTACTGAACTTTTTTACTTCTGACTAAATGTGACTGTTAAAAGTATAAGATGCATTTACTACAAAGACAAACTAGAGTGACAATACATACTCAAAGCAAGCACAGCAGTGTTCAGTACGGCAGCAGAAATTCCCACTAGCCTGCGCGATGGTTTAATACTAGATTTTGCCATCATTGGTATGATGCTAAAACATGATAGTTCGATGTTGGGTGGAGAATTCTTGCAAATTCCTACAGGAGAAAAGATGTATTCGTATAGCCAAGTCTGTGCTTGTTCTGTGCTGCTACTCCATTTATGCAAAAGAGAGTTTTTTCTTTAACTGATGCGTGGAAGTCAGCAGCTTCTTTTTACCCAGTGTTTTTGCATTTTTGTATTATGCTAATATTTTGGTAAAAGCTGAGTTTCAGTTAAATGTCACTGTCTGCACCAAAATTCTGTTTGGAAATGTATGCGTATTGTTAAGCCTAGTTTCCCTGTCTGCTTTTGCAGATAGATGCATGATACCTGCTCTGTGATGTTTATGTGGTTCTACTACAAGAAATGACTGGGCTCAACAAGAGATGCCCGTTATTTTTGACAGGGTGAAAATGCCACTAGGAATAAACAGATGTACGTACAGCATTTGGGGGATGAGGTGCACATCTTGTCAAGAGTTACCTCTTGTGATAAATAAACTTTCTCTAAAATTTAGGTTTAGGGTATGGCTTTATTAAGCCTAATCCTCTTGTAAGTGCAGGCAGCTCCCAGAAAGAAAGGGTAGTTTTGTTCTCCCTCACTCCAAAGCATTTGATCTAGCAATTCTGTGGCCAAACTGCAACTGTTCAGTGAAAGCTGTAACACCTTTCATCATATCAGAGGGCTAGGTTCAAGAAAATGTCTGATTTATATTCTAACTGTGCCTGAAGCTATGAACAACGCATTTGAGTATTAGATTGCACTGAGACTTCATTTAAAAAAACAAAACAGACAGGAGAGTTTTGAACATGGAACTAATTCAACTTTGATTTGAATCAGTATTTAGCGTTCCTAGAAACACTGGGCAAAACAGTTAGCACAGTGGAAAAGTTTCAGTGCATCACAAGAGCATTTTACAGTCCAAAGGACTGTTGTTTATAATAATTATGGGGGATGGTGTTGCAATAGCTTTAAATTATTATAGTGATATCAGGCTATCAAAATGTACCTTAATTAACAGAACTGGGTGGGAGAGAACTATGATGCTAAATTCAACAGTTTTGCCTAGAGACTGTACAGGCAAGGCTGCTATGCACTTCCTATTGATTTTTCAGGTATTGTGGCAATAAGGCACAGGCCCCTCCTAAAGTAAGGGAGGTAAACTAAATATTCTTTCTCCTACATTGTGTTCCCCTTTTCTGTAGCATGGTCCAAAACCCAGATTCATTCCTTAAGTTTTGAAACTGAATCATCATGCATTATATTACTATTGGAATCTTTATACTGACTTGTATTTTTAATGAGAATTCATAAAACTTGTATCATTGGCATTGATCTAAGATTTGTAGAATAAACCCTACTGAATTCTAAAGTCAAGTCTTCTCTAATGCTTAGGCTGTGTTTTCTCATGTTCAATTAAATCCCAAACAGGCTCCATTCAGGTCTAAATTGAGAGAGCTGTCCCTTTGTGCTGGTAGGAGAGGTCAGGAGCAAAAGGGTTACAATATAGTTACTGTCAAATTATTTCATTTTTAGAGGTCAAGAACTTTTTCTGCTGCACAGGGAATCTCCACCATTACTAGTGCTACTGACCCTCTGTTCCTGATCAGACAAAAGCCAGTTTAAATCTCCAGGGATTAGTACTCTGCTTGTTCCATATATTGATCCTGCAGCTGTTGGTTCAGGAGAGCTGCACAGGCAGCTTTGTCAGCCGTTCAAATCCAAGCTTTGCTAGTAACAGAGAAAGGATAACTTAAAGGAGATATTAGCACAAGGCTGGCTCAGCTTATTTGTAGGCTGTGAATTTCAGCAGATGAAAATACTGGGATGCACCACAAAAAAGGCTGGGCTGTTTCTCCCTCAACAGGAGCTCTGCCCCAGTCAAGGATGGGAAGCAACATGTTTCTGCTGGAGCCACTCCTACAAGTAGTTTCTTGCACACTCAGGGTAGCTCTCTAGACGATGATCTTCAGCTTCCCAGTGTGACAAAGCACTGACCAAGGCCCTGTGCGTTCCCAGATGGGTGGGTGACTTTCCTGACCACCCCTTTAAGATGTTTTGTTTTGGGGGTTTTTTTTGCAGCTATTTTCCCTTATTTATACTGTAACTACATCCTTACAACTTCTGTCATGAGGTATTGTTACTAGCTAGAAAGCTTACCTTATCCTTTGACAAAACTCTTATCAAACAGCTGCTTTATCAAGAAGGTCACTTGTGTAAGCAGGGGAGGTGAGGACAAGGAAGCTTCAGATCCAGTTTTCCATTATCCATCCTGTTTCCCTTTCTTAAGGGCAAAGCCTACCCCAGCATGCCTGCATCTGCTGGCTCTGCATTAAGTGGTTTTGGAGCCTTTGTACTGCAACAGTTTCAGTGAGTGAGCCACAATATTCCGAACCTGTTCCCAAGCTCTCCCTTACCTTGTGGCAAGAGCTGGATCTAAATGGAACACAGTTTGAACAGTGATCAGACATCAGTGGTGAACTAACATTGATCCTCCAAAAACCCTGATAACTAATGGCAGATGTGCTCCTGCAGTAGAGTTTAAAGCCTGGGGAACCATTAAATTACCTAACCCAATCTCCTGGATCTTTTCCAGGACACTGCATTTCCCCCTCAGCTACCTCTGCACACATCATCTCCCCAAAAGAGATCCAAGTCCTTGTCTGTAACACAGAGTAAGAGAATTCACCGCTCTCCTTGATAACATCCTAGATAGAGGATGACATACCAGGGGGCTTTTGCACTGGCTGCTCTGGAAGAGACAAGACCCAAAGGTGCCAGATGCAGCCAGAGCAGTTGATCAGACTGATGGAGCAGTGTGGCTGGAGAGCACAGCACTCGCTAGAGGGCATGGACCAGAGCCCAGACTCCTCTGTCCATCCAGCCCCTGGGCAGCAAGCACCCCGTGGGATCCTGAACACCCTTCATCCTGGTAAAGCCAAACAACTCCAGTGTTGGAAACAGTGTCCTGGACTTACACAGACCCTGTCCTCCCTGCCTGCTAAGAGCTCCTTTAACAAGGTTCCTTTGTTCTGTATAACCTCCCCAGGACTCAGCTGCCAACACCATCTATGTGCACCCACAGCTGGGCATTTCCATTTCACCCCATAAACCTCAAGGGAAAGTGGTGTCCTGCTCTCAGCGATACTTATATCCTCCCTTTTCTACCCTACAACTACCAGTCTGCATTACTTCAGC